TACTATAGGCTGTTGGGATTCGGGGTGATCGAAAGCGATGTGAGACTCAACAGCCTTCCAACTTGGGTCTTGGAAGCCCTGGGGTAGCCTGATTCTGTAGACTCTATAATCTGATGGACCCCAAACTATATGTACCTACATCCGAAGCCTAATCATAATCCTAACAAACCTCAAGTTACCACCCCTTTACAGAAGCCTTGAAGTAATTCCTAGACGAACCCGGGTAAACCGCTTAACTTTCAAGCCCTAAAGCCCAAACCCCCCTGATAGGGACCCTTAAAGGAACGCTTAAACTAGCCCTTGCACCTAAACTTTACAGCCGGTAGGAACCCTGAAAGGAGTCCTCTAGAAGAGCCGCCAAAAAAGGGACCCTTAAAGGAACCTTAAACCCTAATCCCTAAACCCTAAACCCTTAAAGAAACCCGAAACCTAAACCCTAAACCCTTAAAGGAACCCTAAACCCTAAACCCTAACCCTAAACCCTAAACCCTTAAAAGAACCCTATAGACCCTAACCCTAAGCACTAAACCCTTCAAGGAACCCTAAACCCTACACCCTAAAGCCTAAAGGAACCCAACTCCCAATACCGAGAAGCGAGGCATCTAATCCGAGACCGCCTCGAAGCCCAGCGGAAGCGCATTTTGGCGCAGGGCCAGGTGGAGAGCGTTCCTTTAAGGGCTCCTATTTAAGGGTTCCTTTCAGGATTTCTGTAAGGCGGGTTAAGGGTTTGGGTTTAGGGTTTAGGGTTTAGGTTTAGGGTTAAGGGCTCTTTTAACCCTGGAGCTCCAAAAAGCCCAAAGTAGGTACTATTTACAGACTTTAGACCCCAGAGTAGGTTCTATTTGTATACTTGGAGCCCTAGGGTAAGGGTTCCTTTCAGGATTTCTGTAAGGCGGGTCAGGGTTTAGGGTTTAGGGTTAAGGGGTTTGAAGGGTTCCTTTATAAGGGATCTAGCGGGTTAGGGCTCTCGGGTTTTGGTCTTTCTAGAGAACAGAAAGAAGCACGGATCTGTTGTGTGGAAGTAGATGAAAAATGCGGAGATGAAGTGATTCTACGAACTCTGTACGCGGTGTCTTCGGGACCACACATGTGGATATCAACCGCTGATGTTCCTGATTTGTGTCCCTAACCACTAAAAGGTAGCAGCCGTACTTGTAGTAGCCCAACAGTCTGGAACCTCTCTGTTTCTGAAGCAACGGATCCTTGTCCTTCTCAGTGAAATGATACACCCGAAACCCCTAAACTCCGTGTCCTGTGATGTCTAGTTCGACTTCAGTTCCTAACGCTGTAAGCTACAACCCCTGATGAATCTAAGGCAGCTCGGAGGTTTCGGGCTCCAGAGGCCCTATAAATCCCCTAAACCCTAAACCCTAAACCCTAAACCCTAAACCCTAAACCCTAAACCCTAAACCCTAAACCCTAAACCCTAAACCCTAAACCCTAATCCAAAGCGCTGACCTAAAGACTGCAACTTTGGGCGCTCAGCTTGGCTCGGCATGCTTGGGCCATGAGGTTTTCACGCTAAGCTGCTCGGGCTCCTACCCAGCAAGCTTCCGACCAAACTCCCACCAAAACGACACGCAACCCCATGGCTAAACCCAAAGTTACTGATTAGTCCGCCTGCGGCCCTGAATCAGCTCCCAAGCGGATGGCGACTGACTCCAAACCACTCCTTAGCCGGAACCCGCTGAAACTATCAAGCCGGAGCTCTTAAACCCTAACCCTAACCCTAAACCCCCAAACCCCTAAACCCCCCTAAACCCCTAAGCCCTTAACCCCTATAAACCCCGAACCCAGAAAAAACACCCAAAGCCCCCAATCCCCTGCATCCCCAAAGCCCCACACCCGCGGCTCCCAAAACCCTAAAACCACACGGGGTCCTTCCCTGAAGCCTACAAGCCTCCAAGTAAGTCTGCGCCATAATATAATATAACATAATATAATATAAGATAACAGAAAGTAGTCAGCCCTAAATCCCAAGGTTTAGGGTTTAGCGTTTACGGTTTAGGGTCCCTAAGCCCTAAACCCACTAAACCCTACGCCCTAACTCTCCCTAAGCGTGCCTGCACTTGCTGCCATGGTAGATGCCAGAGCAGTGACCGGGATGCAACTAATCCTTCCACAAGACTATAGAAGAGTCCATCATTCCTAGAACCCTTTGAAGGATCTAAGCGGAACCCCCCAAAGAAATCCTACCATGATATGGCTGAAACATGGGCCTTTGCTGGGGGTTCGTTTGTGTAGGTCCTTTAAGAGATATGGGTAGTTCTCTAATTGTCCCTTTTAGGGGTCCTTTTTATAAGGGTGATTGGGGACCTAAAAACCTAATTTAGAGAAATACTCATATGGGTTAAGATCCCCGGTTTTTGCAGTTTAGCATTCGTCCTAAACCCTAAACCCTAAACGCTAAACCCATCACTTCAGAGCTTCGTTGGCAGTCTCCGGGCTGGTTGCCGCTTCAGAGGAGTTCTTTAGGCTTGAGGGTGTTGGGTTGAGGTTTTTTATCAGGGACCCAAAAAAAGCACCTAAGCATAAGCATCGTGTAGGGATATCCTTGCCTTACTGGGCTTCATTATCAGGGGGGGTTATATGGGAGATCCCGATCCTATTTTTTGCTTATGTGCCTTTTTTCGGGCCCTATAACGGAGCTTACATGTAGCATTGTTATTCCCACTTCTGGGGTTTGTTTCGAGGCCTTGACGTCAAGAACCAACCTGTCTAACGTTGGCCGGTTAACTTCCCCTAAGGGTCCATGTGCCCAAATAGTATATACTTTGGCCTTAAAGTAGTCCCTATGTGGGTACTTTGGGGCCAAAGTATATACTATTTGGGTACATGGACCCTTAGGGTTCAGCATTTGCCGACGTGTTGCTAGCAGCTTCAGACTATTTGGAAAATGACTTGGGTTTTGGCTCGGTTCTTGAAGGAGAGAGGAACCGATCTTAAATCCTAAACCCGGCCCCCGAGACCCTATTACCGAAAAGTCCCAAAGCCCTACAATCCCTCAATTCCCGAATCCCTAACTGCCTCTTAACCGCTGAAAACCGAGCCCCTAAGAGCCCTAAACCCTTAAGGCCTTAAACCTCGAACGCCCTAAATCCTACAAGCCCTCAGCCCTAAACTCTAAATTAACGCCATAAACCCTAATTAAACCTTGAACACCCCAAACTCTAAACCCTAAATGCCCCCAAATCCTGATCCCTAAAGCCGATTGCCCGACCCCCAAGGGGTCCACACGGACGTGGGAATGGTGGTGGTTGGGCTTCGACCAGAAAGTGCCTGTGCGCACGAGCCAGTCTTCTCAGGGATCAGTGGTTTCGGGTTTATAGTAGAGGCCAGAAAGTTGGAACATCAGTATCCTCATGCCCGCAATATAGAGCATAGGGGATTCTAGCACCAATCCTCCTAAACCCATGTTCCAACTTTCTGTCGTTCACTGTAGGAGTTTGGGGCTCGGTCTGAGGATGCCTTTGCTTAAGGGTTCATAGAAGGAGTCTAGATGTTGCTCTAAGAAGGTTTGCGATTTAGGGCCTAGGGCGTCGGGGTCCGCGGGAGTTTGGGGTTCAAGGGTTTAGGGCTTTACTTCAGGGGCTTCGGGTTTAAAGTTTAGAGTTTACGCGTCTTGGGTTTGACTTGACCTCAGGGTTTTAGGGGTTTGGTGTCTAAGGGCCCTTGGCTATATAGAGTGTACCCCGTGCAGTAGCAAGCAATCAATGTGTGTGTATATATATATAGAAATAGAGAGAAAGCCAGAGAGAGAGAGAGAGAGAGACAGTTGACCAGTATGCGTAGTCACCCATGATATAGGTAACACGGCTTCTGGAAATTGAGATACACAAAGGAGCTGAAGGGTTTGGGATTGCGGCTTCTGCCTTCGGCTTGGCGGGGATGTGTTACCCTGCACCCTAAACCCTCAACTAGCGTTGGGCTTTAGGGTTTAAGTACTACCTGGAGTCTCCATTGCAGTTCCTTTTTTTGTGGTTTCACGAACTTTGTATTCAGGATCCTGTAAGATAGCCCACAAAAAGGAACCACAATGGAGAGTAAAGGTAGGGCCGAGTGTTGAGAGTTCTGGGGTGGACTTCATGCCTGAGGCTTTGGAGTTGATCGGACACTCACCCTAAATACTAAATACTAAACCCTATACCCTAAATCCTAAACCCTGAATCCTAAATCCTTAAGCCCTAAACCCTACACCACTCAACTTTGCAAAGCCCAAGCCCCAATCCCTGAACCCCAAAACTGCAAGCCACTTCCCACAAGATATGTTTGTTACGAATGTTTAGGGCTTCCTTGCTGAGGGAGATTCGATGTGTTGTGGCTGCTCACTTGTTTGCCCGGAGTTTGGATTCCAGAGGTTGAGGGTCTCCTGAACCCTAAACCCTGCACCCCTAAACCCTAAACCCTGAACCCCAAAACCCTAAACCCTGAACCCTAAACTCTACACGTTCATGGCTTAGGGGAGGGGATGCCATGCCTCGCCTCCGGCCGTCGCGGTTCACAGCCATGAGAGTTATAACCCATCCTCCTCTAGGCCACAAGCAAACCACACACACACAAAGTGCTCCAGGACATCTTTGCTGCAGTCGTGGTGAAGGATAGCACTAGGAAGAAACGGACTTGACTGAGTTCTTAACCCCGCAAGTTTTGTCGACAACCAGACAGCCTCAACGAACTCTAACGCCCCACGCTACAAGACACTTTCGTTTCAATCTACCCCCGACCGTGCAAAGCGCTTGTGCTCTGAATTCCAGGGCCAGTCGCGCGCGTGCGGGCGATTTTAATTCTGAAAGTTGTCCGGGGACCCTCCAGAGAAAGGCTCTGGGACTCAAACCCGCTAAGTGGCGAGAGCAAATCCCGTCATCCAACTAAGACCAGACAATGCGCAGGATAAACCCCTGAACCCCACACGGGCTTAGGGTGTTCCTAAACCCCTAAGACGCTAAGCACTAGCTGCGTGCATTCTCTAGGAGGGTCCTTCGGACGACCACCTGTCTTCCATGTACTCCCGTGCTTCGGTAGAGAGAGGCATCGGATGAAAACTTTGGAACCCCTAAACTCTACCGACAGTCTCCATTGTAGTTCCTTTTTGGGGATACCTTATAAAATCCTTATCGTGTATTTGGTTAAACCAAAAAAAGGAACTACAATGGAGACTATAGGTAAACCCTAAACCCTGAAGCCTAACCCTGGGGCTCCAAATAGCCCAAAGTAGGCACTATTTATAGACTCTAGACCCCACAGTAGGTACTATTGGTACACTTGGAGCCCTCGGGGCCTAGGGTAAACCCCATCCTAAGCGGTTTCAGGTTTCGGGTCTGGCCTAACCGGCTAAGAGGGGTCTTTCAGTGAGAGGTTCTGTTTAGTAAAGGGGTTCTAGAAGGGTTCCTTCATAAGCGCTCTATGTGGGTATGGTAGGCTTTTCTTTGCATGGTTTCTGTGGTTCTGCATCATAAGATCCTAGAGGCAAACTCAGCTGAGCAACAGTCAACTACATTGGAGACTAGAGTGACGGAAACGTATATAAGAGGCCATGGCAGCTGGGATCGTCTTTGGCCTGTTTTATTACTGTAAGTTGTAGCCTCTGGACTATGTAGAATACTGTTTCGCTTTATGGGTCGAGGATGGCTACGGTAGTGCTTGGCTGTTCATGGGACTTAAACTTACCCACTTCTTAACTAGGGTTAGAAATAAGGGATCTATACTTTATAATTACTTATACCCCCAATTTGGGTACTGACAACTGTACATACTAAGTCCCATGAACCCCCAAGCAGGTTAAGCGTTCATGATGCCCAAGCCTGCGGCTTCGTATGCGCTTCCTCGATCCCATAAGATCCCGAAAGCATCACACGGATCATGTGTCGGGGGGAGGGGTAGGGTCGAAATTCCAGGCGGGTAGTATTATGAGTGGATCCAGTAGATTTGTCGTTTCAGCTTTTTCGCGTAACTGCGTGTACTGCGGGTGTCTATACAGGTCTTGCCGAGGAAGGCTTGCCCAGGTTATCTGACTCCTAAACCCTAAACCCTAAACCCTAAACCCTAAACCCTAAACCCTAAACCCTAAACCCTAAACCCAAAACCCTAAACCCTAAACCCTACCCAGGTTATCCGACCCCTGTCCCCTGACCCCTAAACCCTGATCCCTAAACCCTCCTTACCCAGACCCAAAACCCTGATCCCTCCTCCTGACCCCTAAACCCTAGACCCAAAACCCTGATCCCTAAACCCTCCTGACCCCTAAACCCAGGAAGATCGGGGGTCACTATGAAACCATGGGTTTTGGGTTTGAAAGGGTATATTCAATGTCAATACGAGTAACAGTGGAACATGATACAGTTAGACTCAAGAGTGCATCACGATGCCAGATACGTCAGAGCACCCCCGCAGTACCCTAAACCCTCAACCCTAAACCCTAAACGTCGCCAAGCTCTCCCCCTTAACCTTTCTGATTGTTACCACGACCCCCAACTGAACGACCCACCGCTCGCTGCTGTGCAGGGAACTCGCGCGAGATCAGTTCCGCGCAGCCGAAGCAACTGGGTGTTCTCATAGTACGAAGTCTCCAGAGGGTTCATGTAACCCTAAATCCTACGCCACTAACCCGAGAACGGGCACAGACTGCATGGACAAGTAATTATAGACAACATGGGCACACGGACCCTGAAGGTTCGGGTGTAGGCACTTAGACGGCCATTCCTCAAACTGTCATCCGTCTAATCCCTACACCAAACCCTGAGCCCAAATGTCTATGCGCTACGCCTGTCTGTGTTAGGTATAAGCCGCTCCAACAGCGCTCTTCCTCGATCTTTGCGCAGGCACGCTTCCTAGAAACTCCAAAACCCCTGAATTAGTTAAGGGATATATCTTAAATCTTATATTCGGGTTCCTATTAAAATTTGATGCACCCCTTCAGTAAGGAATAATAAAGCAGAGATCTGATTTTTGGGCTCCTTTACTGTACCCCTTAATTGAGGAATATATCTGAAATCTTATTTCGGGTTCCCATTATAACTTAGTGCATAAAATTCTTTGTTAAGGGGTTTGGGTGCCTCTGGCTTGCTAGACAGCGGTCCTCACAAGAGGCGGAAGATCGGGTTCGGGGTTGATTTAGGGTTTCAGGCTCCAGGGTTTAGGGTTTCAGGGTGTGCGCTTGAGGGTTTACGGTTTCAGGCTTTAGGGTTTAGGGTTTCAGGGTTTGGGGTTTAGGGTTTCAGGCTTCAGGGTTTGGGGTTTGGGATTTCAGGCTTCAGGGTTTACGGTTCAGGGTTTCAGGCTTTAGGGTTTGGGGTTTGGAGTTTCAGGCTTTAGGGTTTAGGGTTCAGGGTTTCAGGCTTTAGGTGTAGGGTTCAGGGTTTCAGGCTTCAGGGTTTGGGGGTTGGAGTTTTAGGGTTTAGGGTTTACGGGTTTTGGGGTTTCAGGCTTGAGGGTTCCGGCTCCTGACACCAATTAGTACATGCAGGGGTTGGACGGGATTCGCATGGAGTTTGGGTTTAGGGTTTAGGGTTTAGGGTGGTTTTGCTGCTCTGTGGAGGAAGGGTTTGTATGGTCGTGATTGCCGTGCCTTACTGCAGGTGTTAGACAGGAGTCTTGGTACTAACCACACGCCCGAAACTATGCCACTGCAATACTGCTGTTGGACAAGACCCTGCATTACTTATCCATCGTTTGAACATACCTCAGTTCCCCAAACTCGGGATGCCCGAGGAATGGCTGGATGTAGTCCAGCAGTTTCAGGACAACCCCTACTAGACAAAAGCCCGAAACCCGAGCATAGCACCTCCTACATTCTCCCAGCCCCGAAGCCTCGCACACGCTTGTCGCATCGTTTCGGGTTTAGTGCACGGGGCTAAGCCGGAGTGATGAACCTTAAACCCCTAAACCCTTAAACTCTATAAACCCTAGACACTCTTTATCATATGTATCCTCGTTGAATATGGGTTTCCGACTTCAACGAAGAGAAAGCCTCGAGCCTCTTCCTCATGAAAGTTGCACAGGACATCGATGCCGATGACCTGGCGCTCTTCGAAAAGTTTCGCATCGAGGATCACGGGCTCTTACAAAGATGATCTTAAGGGTACTTGGAAATATTTTGTAATTTTCAGTTCCTGTAGCCCCGCAGAAACAGCTGAACTTTGTACGTTTGAGTTACTATAACCCCAAAGAGACAGCTGAACTTTTAGTTAGTTTAGTTTTTGCAAGGGTAGCAAGTTCGTGATAGTGACGAAGCTGAAGCTACATGCCTCTATCTAAAGGTCTCTCGCTTGATTACGTACTTGACTCAAAGCTAAAAGGATGTAACGTTGGAGGCTGCTGGGAAAAAGGCCAAAAACGTATGTTAGGGCTGAGGTCTTGGGTGTAGGAGTGTGCCAAAAAAGGGCCATACTAACCATGAAGGGCTCTGCAAGTAAAGCTTGGTTTAATCTCGAAGCCCTAAATCCAAGTCTCTTGAAAGCGTTAGAAATGCCTATACTATACATGACATGCGTAGTGCCCAAGCTGTCGAAGCAGATTCAAGCCGACTCTCGCCGAGGCCCTTGCGCCTTCTAAGCCCTACGTAAGCCTAAACCCCTGAACCCCTAGGTCAACCTCTAAACCTCGGTTCCTGAGTAGTACCCTTTTGCCCTTTTTCTTGTGTGGTGCCCCTATCAAAACTGAATACCAGGATAAAGGGTTTAGGGTTTTTAGGGTTTCCATAAACTCTAAGCCCTAAACCCTAAACCGTAAACCCTAAACCCTAAACCCTAAATGCATTTTAAAAGACCTAAATCCTAAACCCTAAGCCCTAAACCCTAAACCGTAAACTCTAAATCGTAAATCTTATCATTAAGGAGTCTCCCTAAACTCTAAGCCCTAAACCCTAAACCGTAAACTCTGAATCGTACGTCTTATCATTAAGGAGTCTCCCTAAACTCTAAGCCCTAAACCCTAAACCGTAAACTCTAAATCGTAAATCTTATCATTAAGGAGTCTCCCTAAACTCTAAGCCCTAAACCCTAAACCGTAAACTCTAAATCGTAAGTCTTATCATTAAGGAGTCAAGCCCTCGGAGTAGCCAACAGGAGCAGTCCGACGACGAGCCGCCTTCCTACATTTAGGGCTTTGGGTTTAGGGGTTTAGGGTTTAGGGTTTAGGGGTTTAGGGGTTATCTTACTTAGAAATATTCAGTCTATGATAGAAAGTTTGAACTTTTTGTGGCTGGGCTATTGGAGAAGAGGGTATTTGTGAATTCTTGTGTTGTGGCTAAAGGCTAACACTTCGGAATTTTGTCATACTCCACATGTCATATTTCGAGCTACAAAAACTGCATACACCTGAATGAATGTTAGTTGATTGACTGCGCTTTCTGAGTAGTTTAAAGATGTTTACAGCCGTGGCCCGCAATACCAAATCCCGAGCCCTCGAGGAGAAGAGATGTAAGTCTCAGCCCGAAGACGGAGACACATACAAACCTACAGTGTAGTTGTGTTTGTGTGTTTATGTGTATATATATATATACACGTATATAACCCCCCAAACCCTAAGACCCTAAACTCTACACGCTCTGTATCAAATGCATTTGAACCTTAATTCCTTCGTTGAATGAGGGTCTTCCACCAAATTCAACGAAGAAAAAACCCATATTTATCGGAAGGCAGCCCCTTCTTTGCATATGGGCTTACCATTCGTTGAATATGTTTTTGCTCGGTATCTTTTTCATCAAACTTAACGAAGAAATCACCACATTCAACGAAGAGAAACCCATAGTCAACGATGGCCGACCCTTTGTGCAGTGTTTGTTCACCATGCGCTGAATGTTTGTCGATGTCTTTTTCACCAAATTCAACGAAGGACTCGCCAAACTCAACGAAGAAAACCCCATATTCAACGAAGGCCGGCCCTTTGTTGAACACGGCGAATTCTTCGTTTGATTTGGTTGTTGTTTCGCCAAATTCAACGAAGAAAAAGCATAGTCAACGAAGGACGGCCCTTCGTTGACTATGGCGATTTGTGGTCGAATATGGCTCTTTCTCCTCGTTCAACGAAGAAATCGCCAAATGCAACAATGAAATCGCCATATTCAACGAAGGCAAGCCCGATTTCTTCGTTGAATGTGGGGGCTGTACCATAGGGTTTAAGGGCTACTCTATTGTTCCGGGGCTGTACGGATACCCTGGGGCTGTATCATCGGGTTTACAGGCTATTCTGATGCTGTATCATAGGGTTTAACGGGCTGTTGATCATACTGTTGATGGACAAAACTCTGCATGACCCAAATATAGTATAGTACCATAAATCCCATAGTTTAGGTATATAAGGTCATGCAGGATTTTGTCCATCAACCGTAGGGTTGAAAAGCTATCCTGGGCCTGTATCATAGGGTTTACAGCCTACTCTGGCTTGAGTCTAAGGTTGAAGCCATGGGCCCCTAGCTGCTTAGCATGGGCCCTTAACCCTGGGACCCTTTTGCACCTACTATATGCCCTATATGTACCCTTCAGGGTCCCTAGAAAGGCCAGAGGGTCCATATTAGGGGCCCATACTTCTAAACATTCGATTGAGCCACAGAGTTTAAAGGGGATAGGGCCTCGGTTTGGGGCCTGGTTTGGGCTTCGGGGTTTAAAGTTTCAGAAGGGACTGTCCTAGCAGCTGAACCCTAACAAGGCCTTAACCCCTAAACCCCAAACCCTAAACCCCAAACCCTGAACCCCAAACCCTAAAACCCCAAAGCCTAAACCCCAAACACCACCGCCCCAACACCCTAAACCCCAAACCCGAAAACCCTAAACCCTAAACCCCAAACCCTAAAACCCTAAACCCTAAATTTATATATATATATATATGTATACATATATATATATATATCTATATATATATATATAGACCTTAGATATATAATATCTATATCTATATCTGTATCTGTATATTGATATACACACACAGAGAGCAAAGCCCAGGGAGAAGGCGACCTTGGCCCTCTCGAGCCTCAAAGATGCCTTCCGCCACGACGAGTGGGCGATCTCCAACAACATCATCGACTTCTCCGTGTGCTTTGGGGGGCATTTAGGGATCTGTATAGGGGTTTATAGGGTTTTTGGGGATTTCTAGGGGCGTAGGGTTTTTGGGGATGTATAGGGGTTTGGGGTTTAGACTTCTCCGTGTGCTTTGGGGGCATCTAGGGATGTAGGGGTTCAGGGTTTAGACTTGTCCCTTTGCCTGGCATTTCAAGTTGGCTTTAAGGGTTTAGGGCTTTAAATTCTCCGTGTGCCCGGGCATTTAAAAGCTTAAGGCTTAGACCTGTGTGCCCGGGAATGTAGGGTTCGATGATTATTGTTGTTGGAAGGTTTAGAGCTTCTAGGGTTCGAGGATTCTTGGTTTAAGGTCTAGGCATTCTTGCTTGCAGTCGGTTTTGGTAGTAAGGTCGCTCGGTTAGTATAGGCGCCAATATAATTCAAACTAAACAAGTAGGGTTTTGGGGTGCATTATACTATAGTCATAATAAGGAACCGCCAACATAATATAGGTAATTAATTATTTAGGCCCCTACATTACGAAGCGCAAACTCCTGTATGACTGGGGCTCATGGCGAGTTCGTGGGAGCTGGCTCCCCATCGAAAGCTCCTGGAGCTCATTTGCTGGCTATGTTTCCTGTTAATGGGATCCTACCCATAGACTTGGTTGGCCAAAATCGGCACCACATTGGGAGAGGTTTGGTATGACTGCCCAAGGTCCCCCAAACCCTAGAACCTAAACCCTAAAACCCAAAACCCTAAACCCTAAAACCCTAAGCCCTAAACCTTAAGGTACGACACGGATCGAAGCGGAACCATCGATTTCCGAGAATTTCAGCCTCTTGGCACAAAGAGCAGATGAAGGCCGAAGAAGTCTGCAGTAACGGAGGGGCCTCAACGATTAGAATAGGGTTGCTTCAAAGGGTTCCACATTTTTCCTAAAACGGGTTGCTATAAGGGTTCTAAGATATAGGGGCCTTAATAATTAGAACAGGGTCATGGGGTCTATTATACTATAGCTATATTAAAGAACCCCCAAAGTAGTATAGGTAATTGTTCCGGCCCCTATATTAGGTTCATTCACTTCAGCGCCTGAGCTCCTAGCGGTCCTAGCTAAGACGCCCAACTACAAGGTTGTTGTGTTGGCTGCATCTTCAAAATCGGGGTATCATGCTGCTCGGTTGGGGGGGCTCTGCCATTCAGGCGTGCTGGGCGTTGCCGGGGCATCATATAACTGGGTACGGCTTATGCACAGGTTGGGAGAGGCTGCCTACTTTGGGAACACCGGTGTCATGACTTAACAACATCTAACTTGCGCAATTTGCTCAATGCGTCTTCCCCTCGGTTCATACAGAACACCAATGCTACCTCAGCTGATATATCCTTCCCCGGGAGCATGAATACGATATCCCTAATCCCGACTACGGTTCAGCTCTTGACCAACTGGGAGGGTTCGTACGAAACAGGAACCATCGACCTGAACGCCCCGCCCGCTTGCACGGGGGATGTTCTCAGCTGTTGGGGTTTAGTTGGAGCCGAGGCTCGGGGTACTCTATATTCTTATCAAAACTGCATGTGTAGTGTAGTCCTCTAAGTCAGATAGCTATTTGGATTATGCTTGGAGTATAGGTACAGTTGCAACTACTTCTGGGTGATACGTATCCAAACCTCGGAGCAGGTTGTGTTGTACCTACATCTCAATGGCGTTAATCCTTTCCGAGCGCGAAGATAGGCAGAGATTTGAGGCCCTGAAAGCGCACAAGCCGAAATCCTAGTGGGGCCTGAACCATTTCTGATACTGTTGCCCTACAGTCCGTATGTAGCGCTCCTATTTTAGCAAACCCCTCAACCCTTTGCTTCTACGTACTACCATGACGTTTATGAGTACCATGATTGCTACTTCAGTTATCGTCATTGCCATGTTAAGCGGCAGTCCTGTAAGTATCCATCTTAGCGCAAGCCGAAACCCACCAGAGTATAGACCCTAAGCCCAAAAACCCTAAAAACCCTAAAACCTCAACCCGAAACCCTAAAGACCCTAAGTCCAGGAACATCGTCGCCGAAATTCGCTGGTCACAGGCGGAGAAGTGGGAAGAGAAGACTCAAGAGTTTCCCGGAGAAAGTTTTTGGTTTGGGGGGGCGGGGTCTAAAGGTTTAGTTTAGGGTTGTCCTTTGGGGGTTGAGGTTTTAGGGTGTAGAGTCTCCTGGAATTCGCTTCAGGTCTTTGAGGGTTTGGAGTTGTTTTTTATGAGTTAGGGCTTTGTGGGTTTGGGGCTTAGGGGGGGCTTGTGGTGGTTTGGCGCTGAGGGTTTCAGGGCAGGGAGTTCATTCTTTGGGGCTTCAGGGCTCAAGGTGTCCTTTGGTTTGGGATGTAGATTCAAGTCAGTGATCCAAAGTTCTGTTCAAGACTGTAAACCTTAAACCCTAAACCCTAAACCCTAAACCCTAAACCCTAAACCCTAAACCGGGTTTAGGGTTCAGGGTTTCAGGGCTTGAGTTTTGAAGGAAACCTGCGCTTGCCAAGCCACATAGAACAGAGCCGGGTAGCCCTGAGCTGTGCATCCCAGGCTATTGCTGCAGTTCGAGCGTACCGTCTCAACCGCAGAGTATGGAAAGGAGTCCGACCAGAAAAAGGCCGGACGGTTTAGGGTTTAGGGTCTAGGGTCTATGTTTACGTGAGGGTTCCTTATGAGAGGCATCCTGCTGTGTGGGATTTTTATGTATGGAACCCCTGAACCCTGCGTTGGGGCCGTCCGCGATTTTTTGGGCAGGGCTTCAGGCCCTGGGGTTGTCACTTTAGGGCTTTGGGTTTAGGGCTTAGGGTTTAGGGTTGGGTTTAGGGTTTAGGGTTTTGGGTTTAGGGCTTAGGGTTTAGGGTTTAGGGTTTAGGGTTTAGGGCTTCAGGGTTCAAACTTTCAGCTTTGCCCTAATTAACCCTTGGACCCCTAGATAACAAACCGTGTGATTGCATCACCATAGCCTTGTAGCTACTCGTGGAGCTTCAAGAACTGTCCCAAGCCAGATAGAAGAGTAGACTTCGATGGGGTTCCTCCGAAGCCCTAAAATCCTCTAAACCCTAAACCCTAAACCCCAAACCCCAAACCCTAAACCCTAAACCCTAAACCCTAAAACCCTAAAACCCTAAACCCTTAATACTTAGGTTCCCCAGTAGCCCAAATCCTCTGGACGTTCGGCCCTACAACTCGGAGGTCGATGAAGCTTTCCAGAAGCTCCGGAAGCAGTGGGACAGCATTTCCGTCGATACCCTTCACAACAACCTCAAGGCCGGGATTTGACCCTAAGAGGCTTAGGTTTTGGGTTTTAGGGGTTTAGGGTTTCGGGCTTATAGGGTTTAGGGTTTAGGGTTTAGGATATCGGCAGTTCTCTAACCCTAAGGGTCCGTGTACCCAAATAGTATATACTTTGGCCTTAAAGTCGTCCCTATATGGGTACTGTGGGGCCAAAGTATATACTATTTGGGTACATGGACCCTGAGGCTAACCCCAAACGCTAAGCCCTCAACCCTCTCTTAGCAGTAGAGTAGGTAACCTTGAGCCTTTTTGGCGGTACTATAACCCCAGACTAGGTATCGATTCGGGATAAATTTGAATTCCCTTTATTGTTTCATACAGAGCCCTGGTTTTACATAATTTTGGGGACTGTGAAAATCGACGCCTAGTTGAAGCTTTCAGGGTTTATTTAGGGCTCATGGCTTTGAGTTCTCCTTTAGTTCAGGCTTCTCTTTTGGCTTCCTGTGTAGAATTTATTTTGGGGGGGTGCAATTCGCGCTGGGGGGTTCAGGACTTCATGTGCTTTAGCACTCCCGGAAGGTCCAAGCAGCCATACAACATACAGGTTTCTGCCACATGAATATTAACTCTCTAGACTAGGGTCCCTTTTCAGGCTCCTTGTTTTATGAGGGTGCCGTAGTAATTTTATTGGGAACCTAAAAAAGGGGCCCTAATTCAATAGGAAAAGGTTTTGTCGGATGCTGAGGGATGATGACGATGACGATGGTGATGCTAGCTGCGACTTCTTCTCTCGCTAATCAGTACTACGTATCAGCACAGCTTCTCGTCTTTGCGCACTCAGTTCTCAATGCTCCGGGATCTTCACGGCCTTTCGGATAAGAGCAAATCTGAGGGTCTGTCGCTGTATGTTTTTGTTGTGTTCCGTTTGTTGGGGCTTGGGGGGTTGGTGTTCAGGGATTAATTAGGGGGTTTAGGGTTTAGGGGGGTCAGCGTTTAGGGTTTAGTCCTGGTAGGGTCCTAGAGTGCGTGTGCAACTAACTCCACATCTTCCCGGCAATCTGTTGGTTCAAGATTCCATGTCAGCCGAAAACACGGCCCCAAACCAAGACGACACCGACAGAAATCCGAGGTATTGAAGGCGAAACGCTGAACAGTCAAGGCAGCTGCAGGATACCAATTCACTCAAGCCCAATGGCTGAACCAGAAATACACAACTGGTTTCCGAAGCTCTTCGCAGCTCCCGACGCACACGAATTGCAACTTGCTATGTGTATGTTTATGGTTAGCAGCGAAGGGTAGTGTTGTTGTTCCTTCACTTTATGCTACAAACCATAAAGCACATCGGTATGCTGTAGCGGCAGCAGGCTGTATCATGTTTTGGATGAAACGATTGTCCGTACACATGTGGCAGTGAGAAAAACAGCAGTGACGATAACATTATCATTCATCTACATTGAAGAACATACTGGGTGGTTTGTACAGTGTCAGCTCACATGCTGCCAGAACTCATGTTTCGAACGACCATGTGCCGCTCAACCACCGGTGCCAACACCTTGAATCTTGTTTACACGGACTCCGAGCACTTAGTTCTTTACAACTAACATCGACAACCCTCACTCAAACCAGAAAGCCCTAAACACCTTACTCTAAAGCCTTGAAGCGAAAAAAGCCGTGAAGCCAAAACTCTGTCTAAATACCGACTATAAACCCTAAAGCGTGCGTGGAGGCAATCCGCAGCTTCGGATGCAGTGGCAGTGAGCTGAAGAAGCAGCCGATCTGATCTCCGACGAGGGTTTAGGTTGATTAGGGTTCTTATGCTTTAGAATCCATTCTAGGGTATTTGAGTTTCAGGGTGTAGAGGCAAAGTATGAGATGCTATAGTCACTGTCATGTGCGACAGTAGGCTACTCGATAAGTACCTTGCATCTCGTGGCTAGCGGAATGCATGTTTGGTTTGTTCCTCGGCCTTGTGTGGTCTCAAGTTACGGGGATCTCCAGCATATGATCTTGTTGCTACTTGCCGAGCGGAAGCTTGGGATTCGAAGCTTAGCAAGGCTTCAATCTCTGGGTTTAGAGCCCTTGCGTTTCGGGCTGCTTGTTCCGCAGCAGTGCACGCAGCTTGTGCCTCTGCTCCTGTGAAAGCATCAGGATTTTCGGGAGGAGCTTCAAAGTGGTCGCACGCGGTTCCACGAAACGCTAAACCCGAAACGTTAAGCACTACGAGATTGCTTGAGGGATGTACTTTACGATCCTCCTAGGAGCCTGCGCAGTAGTGCGAAACCCTGGGAGCCCCCTTCAAAAGATATTAGAACCGTGTAGAAACCTTTCTAACACCCCTGTCGAAGCCACCCTAAGCCTAGTCCCTAGTCTAGCCTAAGCAAGGTACTTGTCCTGCCTGGTCGCCAAAGTGCCCTTCCGAAATGCCCGGAAGGAGCTTGCTCTCTCCGATGCCTAGTTATCAGCTTCCCCTTGGGTTCGATTTTAGGACCTCGGAGAGGAGGAGATAGGGTCTTTTGGAGTTTGGGGCTTCAGGGTAGCGGTTTAGAGTTTAATTAGGACTTTAGGGCAGGGGAGTAGAGTTTATAGGACTTTAGCGCTGGGGTTTGTAGTTTAGAGCTTATAGGGATGTTCGAACGGGGGTTTAAGGCTCAGGCATTCGGGCCGTAGGGCTAAGGGCTCAGAGCTCTGCATGAGAGATGCTGAGTGGTTGAGTGATCCGAAAAGCAGTTGGAGATGCATACGGTTGATGGACAAAATTCTGCATGACCCAAATATAGTATAGTACCATAAATCCCATAGTTTAGGTATGCAAGGTCATGCAGGATTTTGTCCATCAACAGTAGGATTCTGTCCATTTGAAGGATCCCGGAAACAAGCGCAGTAGCAGGCAGTTCGGGGTTTTGCCAGCATCCTTTCATAAAGCCTTATATGGCCCTTGATAGAGGTTATGTGGGGTAGAATAGAGGGTAGTCGGGGGGGTCGAAGAAGGGAGTTTCGAGTTCAGGTTGCAGCGCAGGTTAGAAGTGCCTCCTTGTAGGGTTTAGGGTTTACCTTAAGAACCCCAAACCCACTTTTTTTGTAGGTTCTTATTATAAACCCTAGTATGGGATTTATAGGAACCCTACAAAAAAGTAGGTTTTGGGTTCTTAAGGTAAACCCTTACCCCCAAAAGCCCTACACCCTAGACCCAAAACCCTAAACCCCTAAATTCCTAAACCCCTAAACCCCGAAACCCCTTAAACCCTAAACCCCTAAACCCCTAAACCCCTAAACCCTAAAGGTAGGGTTTAGGGTTTAGGGTTCTTTTTGTCCAGGAGCTCGTGAGGCGAGACCTCTGGCTGCGGCGGCGGATGTCGAGCAGCCATGGGCTTCATCTGCTCGAGCGCTTCATTCCTGATTAAGACGAAGCTTGTGGTTTAGGGTTTAGGGTTTAGGGTTTAGGATTCCTGATTAAGACTTGGTAACTGAGTGAGTACACTTTACACTTTTTGGGGCAATATGATGCCTTATAGAACTGAAAGTGTACACTTTTTGGGGCTTGTGAACTCAGCAACTGAGAAGACGAAGTTTGTAGTTTCGAACCCCAACAGGTTGGGTTTAGGGTTTAGGGATACGGATCTAAAAGGGGCTTATCGTCAGCTCTCGAAGGAGCTTTCAGGGTTTGGGTTGCGCATTTCATGTTCAGTGGCTGGATACTGAAACCGTCAGAGCGCCGATGAGCGTTCGGAGTTCAAGATGTCACCAGTTGGGGTGTCGGGTTAGGGCCGCCGAAGCCGGAGGCCCTAACCCGCAGTCCTCAGGTTCCATGTGCCTACAATACCGCATAGCTTTAGGCATTCAAGGGGTTCCGATTAACACACTTAAGTGCCAAAGTAGTTTCCCTAAGGGTCCATGCGCCTAAATAGTATATACTTCGGCCCCAAAGTACCCAGATAGGGACTGCACCAAGGCCAAAGTATATACTATTTGGGTACATGGACCCTTAGGGTGTGCTACATGGGTACATGAACCCTTTGGGAATCTTGACACCCGGCAGCTAAGGTCTCCGAATGGCTTGCGGGAAGTTCAAGACCTGAGCAATCCGGATGCTTGGGCTGAGACTATGGCTATAGGGTCTAGGGTTTAGGGTTTGGGCTCCAAGTATACAGACTGTACTTATGTTGGGGTCTAAAGTCTGTAAGTAGTACCTACTCTAGCCGTTTTGGAGCCCCAGGGTTTAGGGCATTTCATATGTTCCTTCATTACGAACGTGACTAAAAGGCCTTGAGAGGCCGATTTGGGAAAGATCGGCGAGAGTCGATCGACAATATAGCAACATGCAGACAAGTTGCTGCCATAACCTGGACCCGAAGAACCCCACATGTTGTTGGGTGTTCCTGATTCGAATGGCCCAATATATGTCCTTAAACGGTAGGTTTTTGAGGTTGGGGAATCAATAGTCAAACCTCGGCAGTCCTGTACGTAGCGCCAAAGCCTGAAGTCTTAAACGGTGAGACGCTGAAGCCCGCCCGAAATGTTCGAGAAGTCGTCATCTCTTTCAATTTCCGAATGTGTCACAGACATGACGCAGCTGCTGGCTTACAGCAATTCTAGAACGGGCATCCAAAAGCCCACAAAGAGAAGGATCCCGCGCAGACGGTCTCTGGATTTCCCTTCATCCCACACGTAGGACGCAGGATCCCACATTCCTGTGACATTTTGGACTCTTGTGTGAGGCTGAGTTTTTTAATAATTAGAGGTTCAGGTGACTTAGTAACTAGGGTTATGAATAAGGCAACTATACTTATAGTTACTTATAACCCCAATTAAGGTACTCATAACTGTACTTACTAACCTGAAGGGTCCATGTACCCAAACAGTATATACATTGGCCCACAGTACCTATATAGGGACTACTTTAAGGCCAAAGAAAATACTATTTGGGTACATGGACCCTTAGGGTAAGTCCCATGAACCTCCAAGTAATGATGCGTCTCCCCAGGAAGGGGCACCGGAGGGAGGGTCTGCACACTCACAAGCTTTCATTGCGGGCTTCCCACTGCTTCTTTCCCCTGGGCTCCAAGTATACAAATAGTACCTACTTTGGGGTCTAAAGTCTATAAATAGTACCTACTTTGGGCTATTTGGAGCCCAAGGTTTGTGGAAGGCCAAGAATCCTGGTTTTTGTATGATGGTTCATTGCTGTTTGGGGTGTTGGTTCTACCGTATGTCGTGCACTCAGTGTAAATGTCATTGTTTTGCTGAAGTAATCGTTTCATCATTATGAGTGTCGGTCTTTGTTGTATTTGTTCTGTTGCTTGCTCCTCTTTCCTGGGTTGGACTTTTACTGTTGACATGCTGTATTCACTATGTATTTTTTGTTTAGTTAGGTCTGTCCTTCGTTTGGTGTACATTTTGTCGTTCTTTCTATATGACGAATGTTTTGTTTATTTGTCTTTCTAGCTCGCTCATGCTGTGGTCACTGGTTTCTTTCTATGTTGTTTGTGTGCGATTGCGTTCGTTCGTTCGCTCGTTCTTTCTATCATGCTTTGTGACGGGCATGGGTGGGTAGCAGCATCCACTCATGTGGGGACCATGCACAGAACATTTGTCTTCACAGCGTTTCCTGCCGGTTTGATGATGAGGGCGGTGATACAGAATGATGATGATCATCATCATTATCATGACGGTGATGCATCACATTGACGATGTGGGCGACCATGACCATGGTGGCCAAGTGGACGTCATTCCCCCCCCCCCTGGGAAAACAAACAATGCGGACCTGTGCACAGCAACCCCTCCTCTGGTGCAAGTTTCTGAATCCTTGTTCTTTTGCTAGTGGATCTGCACCTTCCTACTCGTATTATTAGGGTCTGTCGAAGAGTTTCAGGAAAAGGCCGCGGGATTTTCAGAGCCTAATTCAGGCACACTCACAGAAACGACCGTGGGGCATAGAGCTGGAATTGAAGCACTCTACCGATGGCCCCAGAATCCAGGATATCTTCACGCGAATCGAAGCCTTCTTTCCCTACCAAGACGCTCGATCTGCAGAGCGTCTGTCTTTCGGAATCAATGCTAGAGTCATTAGGCCAAACCGCTAGCGATTGATCTACATTGGCTGAGCGGGATGGTGTGCCTGTGTTAGGCGCGCTTCTTGATGACTAAGCATGGTAGAGAACTAATTCTGCAATGATCAAGGCCGTAAACCCCGAACCGGTTAATTTCGCTGGTTAGCAATCCCTGCCTATGCCTCCAGTGTTTGACTCTACACCACTATCAGCGCTGCGCTCCTCTGCCCGTATCTTGAGGACAACCAGCTGTAGCTCGAGCCCTGAACCCTAACCTTAAGGGTCCATGTACCCAAATAGCATATACTTTGCCCGCAAAGTACCCATATAGGGACTACTATAAGGCCAAAGTATATACTGGGTTTAAGGGTTTGGGGACCGTAGTCTCCATTGCAGTTCCTTTTTTTTGGGTTTAACCAACTTTGTATTCAGGATCCTGGAAGATAACCCACAAAAAGGAACTACAATGGAGACTCTAGGTAAACCCTAACCCTGAAGCCCCCTAAACCCGAAACCCAAAACCGACCAAACCTTAGCCTAAGGGTCCATGTACCTAAATAGTATATACATTGGCCCCAAAGTATCTAAATAGGGGCTACATTAAGGCCAAAGTATCTACTATTTGGGTACATGGACCCTTAGGGTTAGCCCTATAAACCGGAGACCCGGCACGCCAAACCCCAAACACTAGTAGCTGCAGGAGAACCCTAACGAAACCCTACCAAGCTCTACAAAATCCTTCATTAGGCTTGAAGCCGGAACCCCTAAACTTTACACCCTCAACAACTGCAGGAGATCCCCTTATAGACCCAGACCTCTGGGAGTATCTACAAAGTAAATCCCTTGAGGGTGGGGGTCCTATAAAACACCCTTTAGTAGTATGGGGTCTCAAATCAGCGGTCCTACTCCTTCGAACCCTGAACGCTAAAACCCTAAACCCCTAGTAACGCTTACACAACTCCAAAACCCAAACCCCCGGGAGGATCTAGAACGTAGATCCCTAATTGGGGACCCTATACTACAGGTTCTTTATAGGAGCTCCATTAACGGATCCTCCTGGGGGTCTGTCCCCAGACCCCGAGGAGGATCCAAAAAGTAGATCCCTTAATGGCGGTTCCTATAAAGAGCCCTTAGTAATATAGGGTCCCAAACTAGGGGTTCTACTTTCTAGATCCTCCCGGGGGTCTGTCCTAAACCCTAAACCCTAAACCCCAAACCCTAAACCCTAAACCCTAAACCCTAAGCCCTAAGCCCTAAACCCTAGCCGGGGGTCTGTCAAGGAGAACCGGGACTTCCACTTCGCTGTGACCTCCATCGACTTGCCTCGGCTTCACCACTCGCAGCTGGCCTCTTTCGTCATTGCAATCTCCGAGGTGGGTTTAGG